CCATAAAGATGTACCACCTCAGAAACCCAGCAGGAGTCACTATAGTCAGAATCAACATGATGGTAGTTTTTTTTTGTTTGAGTGCAAGAGTGGAGCCCTAGGGGTGCAGTAGCCAAAGTGTTTGGCTACTAACCAAAAGATCAATGGTCTGAATCAGCACCCGCTTCATGGGAGAAAGATGAGGTAGTCTGTTTCTGTAAAGATTTGCAGCCTTGGAAACCCTATAGAGTAATTCTACTCTGACCTATAAGATCACTATGATTTGGAATTGGCTCAGTGGCAGTGGGTTTGGTTTTGGTTTTACCGCAAGAAGAGGCTTGAGGCCTTTTAAATGATTTAAAGCTGCACATGCAGCAAGCGAAGGTGATTGTTGTGAGTGGGGTGGGTTCAGTCATTTCAAAGCGAGGGCACATTTACATAACATGAAAGTGCAAGTATGAACTGTCCGTAAGTCAGACATTGGTAACCCAAGGACTTACTGTAAAACAAATCATATGGATCCCATTAAACCAAGGATGTTAGATAGGGGTGTCTTGAACTACAGAAGTATCCCTTCAAAAGAAACCTGTGTTTGGTATCAGTTGTTTTCTTGATGACTAGTGGCCCAAGGGAGAACATTTTAACAGACAGTCCAGTTTTCTGAAATAGTGCAAATATGGGCAAAACTGCTCACGTCCCTCTTCTCGCACATGCATAATGGGGAAAAGGTAAAAGGCTATGGCCTGCCCCAATTTCCTCTTTTAACAAAGGGACTGAGAGTCTTGTTTCAATATCATCTAAGTGAGAGCTGTGTATTGGTCACTCAGGACATGATGCTGTTGACCACAGATGCTCATGAAAAATGCATTGAGCTGAAGAATGAGAAAGTTACTCTTTTTCTTTCTTGAAACTCCTGATTGGAAGTTCCAGATAAAAAGGAATTTGTCTTCACTACCTTGTTCCTTTTTGAGAGAGAGCAAGTCTCAAGTCCAGAGCCTTCTGATAACACGATTACACAAACTTCAGTAAGATTATTTTCTGTTCATTGTATTTATTCTCATTATTGCTTCTTATGTGTGGCAAGTGATTCTGGTTATTTCATTTATGGTAGTTGTCTTAGTTCACTAGTGCTGCTATCACAGAAATACACAAGAGGATGACTTTAACAAACAGACATTTATTGTCCCACAGTTTAGGAGCCTGTTGTTGTTGTTGTTATTTGCCATCGAGTCGGCCCTGACTCATAGCAACCCCTCCTTGGGTTTCCGAGGCAGCATCACTACGGAAGTAGGATTGCCCAGCCTTCCTTCCGAGGAGTGGCTGGTAGGTTTGAACCGCCAGCCTTCTGGTTAGCAGTCAAGTGCCTTAGCTACTATGCTACCAGAGCTCCCTTTAGGAGCCTAGAGGTCTCAATTCAGGGTACCAGCTCTGGGAGAAGGTATTCTCTCCGTCAGCTCTGAGGGAAGGTCCTTGTCTCCTTTCAACATCAGTGGGCTACACCTGAGCTCATCATTGCAGCCACCGTGTCAATCCATCTTGTTGAGGGTCTTCCCCTTTTTTGCTGACCCTCCACTTTACCGAGCATGATATCCTTCTGCAGGGAATAGTCCATTCTGACAACATGACCAAAGGAGGGGAGATGAAATCTGGCTGAAGTTGGGCCATTTTCACTTCAAAGGGTAAATCTGGCTGCCCTTCTTCCAGGACAGACTTGTTGTTCTCCTGACACTTGGTGGTACTTTCAGTATCTTTGCCAACACCACAATTCAAAGGCAACCACTCTTCTTTGGCCTTCCTTAGTCATTGTCCAGCTTTCACATGCATGTGAGGTTATTGGAAATACTAGTGGCTAAGGCACTTGACTGCTAACCAGAAGGCTGGCCGTTCAAACCCACCAGCCACTCCCTGGAAGGAAGATGGGGCAATCTACTTCCGTAGTGATACTGCCTTGGAAACCCAAGAAGGGGTCGCTATGAGTCGGGTCTGACTCAACGGCACATAACAACAACAACAACATGGCTTCGGTTAGATGTGTCTTAGTCTTCAAAGTGATATCTCTGCCCTTCAGCACTTTAAAGAGGTCTTTCCCAGCAGAACTGCCCAGTGCAATACAATATCTGATTTCCTGACTGCTGCTTCCATGGGTGTTCATTGTGGATCCAAGGAAAACGAAAACCCTGACAACTTCAATCTTTCCTCCATTTATCATGATGTTCCTTATTGGTCCAGTTGTGAGGATTTGTTTTCTTTTCTTGAGATGTCATCCACTGTAGTTAGGTGGCTTAATTCAGTTAGGGCAGTTCCCATTGTCAAATCTGACTTACATAAACAGCAATCACAGCTGTCTTCAAGGATTCCAGGGCTCCCTTCACAATCTGCTCCTCACTGTTAGGGCAAAAGGTGTGTCCTCTGGACACTCAATGTGTGGGTCTGTGGGACTAACTAGATAAATTCACTCTAACATGCCAATTTCTGTAAGTTTTTGGGTTCCTTCTATTACTATTTACCAAGGCAGGTCTGGTGCTTCCACTTGACTTAGTATAGGCCTCCGTGTAATCCATACTTCAGTAAACCAACCAAATAATCAGATTCTTCCCTAACCTCTCAAGCTAAAAGACTGAATGAAGAATCATTGCCTAATGGGTCCATATCAATAAACCCAAACGTTGTGTTCCTTGCACTGTTGTCGCACACCCTTAATAGCCATTCCCATACATGGTCTCCAGGTTTCTGTTTGAACATGTTAGAAAAATCAAGCAGTTCTGGAGTGCAGTGTATATCCTCCTGGGTCACAATTTGTACTTTACCTTTAGGGGCTTGCTGGAACTTAAGTCTAGTTATAGACCTAGAAGCAAAAATGGGTGGTAGTCATGGGTCCTGGGAGCATCCAGCCATGTCTTATAAGGAATCTGCCTCGGGTGATTACCCAGGTCCACCCCAGGCAATATCTCAGACAATGACTCCTCAGGTATAACTGTGTTACTGCCATCAGATGAGGGTAAGAAGCCTGGTTCTGTTGGCAGGAGCAATTCAATGGAATTTAGGGGCTCATTGTCCCCAGCTTCCTGATTATCTGCCCATATGTCTCCATCTCAAGTTTCAGGATCCCATTTCTTCCCAATCAATTTAACTTCAGACACCATTTGAGGCTGGGAATTCAATTAGCATTATAATTCACCCACTCTTATGATAAGACTCTGGGTTTGGTTTTTGGCAATATCAGGTCTGTTACTACAAGAAGTTAGAAATATTTATATATATGGAGAGAAAGCAAGAGACAGAAATTTGTATCATGGAAATGGCTCACACAGTTGTAAAGGCTGGCAAGTCCCATGGGTCATATGTCAGCTGGAGCCTTCTCATGTTGCTGCAGAAGTTGATGAACCCAAGATCAGCAGGTCAGGTGGCAGGCTGCTGGATCATAAGTTGCAGATGCCAAAGAATGTCAAGATTGGCAGTTAAGACAGGAGGTCGCTGACTCACAGACTTCAGAGGCTGCTGAATCCCAAGATTGGCAGTCAATAGAGCAAGCCACTGGCTCAAGTGCCAAGCACCAGAGGAGCCATGATGATGAGCCAAATGCAGGATCCAGAACAAGCAAAAAAGCCAGAGAGCTTTGCCAGAACATCCATATATAATGGATGCAGGCCACACCCTAGAGGAAACTCCCCTTAAAACTGATTGGCTGATCACATCAGATCACATCATGGATGTGACTACATTACATCGCAAAATGGAAGATAACCGTATCATTCCAAAACTGCCATATAATGTCATTACATAACTGTCAAACCACTGAGAATCATGGCCCAGCCAAGTTGACACAATCTTTAAAGTTTTTCTTTTAAATAACACATGTATTGATACATGCTGTTGTTGTTGAACACATCACATACAATGGTGCTTGGTCTGTAGCACATAATACGTAAGCACTGGCTCTCCTTCTCATCTTCATCCCTCTCCTCCTCCTCATCTACAAAGTACTGTTTACAACTGCACTACTCAACACTTTGCCACATAGACCCATTGACCATGTGTCCTTGTATTAAATGTTCATAACTGAAGCAGGCAGATGCATTGGTTCCAGGACAGAGAAGAAAGAAGGACATCAAAAGAGTCCATAATAGAAACACAGGACACTGCTACACTCTATTTAATGATCATGAGAAGAAAGTGACCACAAGTTTTGCCACTTCTCACTTGGGAGGCTTTGGACAAGTCCTTTAACATTTCTAATCCTTAGTTATGGGAGCTCTGGTAGCATAGTGGCTAAGGCACTTGACTGCTAACCAGAAGGCTGGTGGTTCAAACCCACCAGCCACTC